GCCAAGCCCACACGTACTCATGATTGAAGGGGAAGAAAGCAGCTTCTGTTGTGATGGAGCACCCGTAGGTAGAAGTCTGACTTTGGCTCCGTGACGCTCTTACAGTCATAGAAGACCGGGACCTACAGCTTAAAGTGGATTCCGAACCACTACAAACCTCCATGGCAGCGCAGGGATTCGAACCCGAAACCTGTGGCACCGAGCGCCAGACACTCGCCAATTCAGGTCCCAAATTCGTGAATGCCAACGGCCCGCGGTGTTCCCAGGTGGTCACCCACCCAAGTACTGACCGCGCCCAATGATGCTTGACTTCGGTGATCTAACCAGAGAACCGGTGTGATCCATTGGCAATGGCCGTGTTGGCTCGTGGCCAGTAAAGATAGGAAGTGACATGACACAGCAACAGGGTTTTTGTAACGGCCGTTAGTCGTAGCTTGTGCTTTTCATAAGCATGCCCTCATGAAAAATGCTGATACAATGTATTCTTATGAGCATGCGCGCTGTGGAGAAAAAGGCAACGACGCGTCCCCACGGAAAACCAACGTACGCGTGGAAAAGCAAAACTCGTTAACGTGATTTGGTTCAGGAATGGTAAATATACACGAAATCGCATTGGCGTGAATTGCATTTATAACCCAATTAACAAAATAAAGGAAGCTACTCTAGGGAAAGGTTTTAATATTTAATGAATCATGTTATAGGAAGCAATTGAAAGAATAAAGGAAAACAAACTTTAACATGCCAGGATCTGCATGTAAAATGCTAAGCAATCCCATGGGTTGAAAGCACACCAGATAATATGAAACGTATGGCGGACTCCAAGCCACATTGTTATGTCTGTATTAGCTCTCTTAAATCTGCAACGACAAAATTATGTAGAAAATGCAATAATAATGTATAATATTTAAAACGTGTGTACTTAATAAAAAATACCTTACATATCATCATCATCATCATCCTCATCACCACTGGCGCAACAGCCCCCATGTTGCAGCCACGGTCGCGCTCTGCCTGCGCAAATTTCTAGACAGTAGTGTTTGTCACATACGTTATGGTTATTAGCCCTACGACCAACAGTCAAATCAGAACTGACGACCTAATTTGGTTTAAAAAGTTTAGTTTTTCACTCTACGGTCATTTTTGTGCAGTACTTTAGACTCAAAACAGACCGAGACCTACAGTTTAAGGTGGATTCCGAACCACTAGGAAACATCCATGCGAAACCAGGCTTTCAGAACCTGAAGCCTGTGAGGCCAGGGCAGAACACAAAGCCAAATTATCCATCAGGTTGTCCTATGGTTTAGCGTGGATTCCAAACCACTGCACTCATTCAACGCGGCTCGAAACCAAATCCTGTGGCACTGAGCGCCAGTCACTAGGTCATCGGGCATCTTTTACATATAATACATTATATTTAAATACAATATATTTAAAAGAATGCATTATATTTAATGCTTGAATACATCACTTGCATCGAATAAGCATTGCTATTACTCGCTTAGCACTACCCAAGGGGTCACGCGCAGCTTAGAAGATATGCTACGGACACGAGTAACACTGACCCAACAACGCTCTACGATCCTATTAGGATCCGGGGCCTGCGGTTTAAAGTGGATTCCGAATCATTACAAACCGTAGGTCCCGATTGCAAGTGTGAAAAATAGTATGTCCACCAATTTTGGGATAAAATCCCCATAATAAAAGACAGAAAAGGGGGCCCATTTTCGTATTCATTTCATTCAATAACTGAATAATATGTTACCGTCTTCTTGTTATAATTACTAAGAAAAAAGCTAGAAAAATGTACTTAATTTGATTGAAAGATTTTTGTAAATAAAAAGAATTCAAATTATGTATTTGAATAATAATTACATATATTTATTATTTAAATACATTTGAACCATTTAGATTCAATAAAGTATGCATTTATACCATTTAGATGAATATGTTACTGTCTTCTTGTTATGATTACGAAAATAGCAAGAAAAATTTGCTCAATTTCATTGAAAGATGTTTGTAAACAATAAAAAAATTCAAATTGTTGATTTAAATAATAGTAATTACGCGTATTTATTATTTAAATGCATTTATATCATTTAAATTCAATAAAATCTTTAGTGAAAATCTTCACCAAATTAACTACTGAGCTGTAAGTGAAAGCAGCATTATTAAGTATTGGTTTTTTTTATGTAATCCGCCGAATAGGGGTTGCCGGAGCAAAAAAAAAAAAGGCAGAGCTTTCTTTATGAACTCATTATTTATTGCTAATTTATGAAATTGAAAAGAATTTTGAATTGTGGTTTTAAAATAAAAAAATTATTAGAATTTTAACTTTTTAGAAAGGAATTGAAAAAAAAGATTAGCACTTTTTTTTCTTTTCTTCAATTAGAAGTAATTTAATCCGAAAATTGTGTTAAGTGGAATTGATAAAGATTGTTAAATCAGATTAAAATTAAAGAATTTGACAGTGACTAACTATCATATAATTATTAATTGGTAAAATAAAACATTTGTGGTCTTAAAGCAATTCATAAGTGATTCATATTCTAAAAAAATTATTTCAATATATTAATAATTTATTTTTAATTATTTTTCTGATGTCAAATCCTACAAATATTTTATTAGATTATTTTATAAATACTCTTCTTTTTGCAATAATTTAGGGAATTTATTTTAAATAGAGATTTTATTTTTTTATTATTTTCTTGCTAACATTTATATTTTGTTTCCGTCTCGTGGCTCTGGCCTTTGGTACAACAGGCTACAAGTTCGAATCATGGCGGTATCATGGATGTTTGCTAGTGGTTCGGAATCCACTTTAGACTGTAGGTTCCGGTCTGTTTAGCGTCAGTACGTCTGTGCAGCGCTTGCCTTAAGGCATCCAAGACCAAGCTGTCTAAGTGTTTGACAGCTGCATTAGAAAGAAAAAAAATTACTTTTTATTTGCATATGGGGTATATTGTAGTCCATAGTTTATTGGTGTTCCATGGAAAGTAAAAAAATAGCACTCAGTATTAAAATATGAAATTTTGATTGATTAAATGTTTCCTCAGATTTCAATTACTGTTCTGAGACATTAAGCACAACATTTTTTCTGACTATTAATCTAAGTATCTTATGTGACAATAAATGGAAGTTTTCAAATCAGAAGAAAATTAGACAACATTTTATTAAATTTAGTTCCGATTTAATCTTCTTTTATTAAAAATCAACAAACATGTGTGAACAAAATGACCGTAGAACGACAAACCAAACATCCCGACTCGTGGCTCGGTGATATCGTGCGCTGCTGGTGAGCCTTAGGGCTGAGTTTCAACCCGCTGGCAACTTAGCTGTCTGATGGTCAATTGGGAAGCTCTTTGACCTTTTCTACTCCAGGCTCGAATCCTGGGATGTTTATTAGTGGTTCGGAATCCACGTTGAAAGGTCCTATTAAAATCCTCGTAAGATCCCGGTCTAATTAGCCTTAGCACTTAACTGACTATCCCTTAATT